TAAGCGTATTGTTTAAAAATAATAAATGTTTGAGAAAAAGAAGTCGTCTAAAGAATTGCTTTGAAATTCGTTTAGAATCACTTTAAAAGTGCAAAAGAATGTGAGGAAAAGATTACAATCAGAAAAAATTAATGATATTACATTAGAGGAAACCGTTATACCGTTACGAAACACTGTAATTTTTACTTCCGCGAAACCATTCTCCATTTATCATTTGAAATTCGGGACTGGTTATATTTGAGCAAAATGTCGAAAAAAATACAGCAAAGATGAGGACAATTACATTTTCAAATCTTCATTTCATTTGGTACAACAAAGCAATTACGTTTAGCAGTGCTGGTCAGTTTTAAAATGATAGACTTTTGAATTTGGCTATTTTAGAATTGATCTTTGTTATGAGCTGATTTGTTGAGATCCAACTTCATTTATTAAAAAAAAAAAATTAAAAATGTTGTTTTCGCTGGTGTTTCGAGATGTGAAAATGGGTGAAAATGAAACCAAATGAAATGGAGATTTGAAAATGTAATTGTCCTCATCTTTGCTGTGTTTTTTTACGACATTTTGCTCGAATATAACCAGTCCCGAATTTCAAATGATAAATGGAGAATGGTTTCGCGGAAGTAAAAATTACAGTGTTTCGTAACGGTATAACGGTTTCAACTAATTTAATATCATTAATTTTTTTTTTGATTGTAATTTTTTCCTCACATTCTTTTGTACTTTTAAAGTGATTCTAAACGAATTTCAAAGCGATTCTTTAGACGACTTCTTTTTCTCAAACATTTATTATTTTTAAACAATACGCTTATAGCATTAGATTTTAACAAGTCATCTGATAAAAAGGTCATTCAAAAGTTGATTAGTTTAAAGCTGATCAGCACTTCCAAGTGTAATTACTTTGTTATACTGAATGAAATCGATATGGCCGTCTAAATTTGAATCTGTGCGATTTTCATGATTTTTTTTTGTTTTCGACTTTATATCAGTCATGTTAAATCAAATTTCATTAAAATATTTGATTTAGGTTCAGGTTTAACATCTAATAAGATTAAGCAAGCCGTTTTCTTTCTCATCTCAATTTTATTTTTTTTATTTTCCTAATATAAGAACAAAGAAGAAAAATTTAACTTCCCGAATTAAACAGAAAATAAATCAACATTCAAGAGTGAATTTGTTCAGCTCAAAATAAAGAAATACCTGTATTGGTTAAAATATCTGCAAGTAATTACATATACGATGAAATAGCCTGAGTAATATCTAAGAAGATTGATAGTTATACAGGTGAAAAATTACAAAAGTACGCAACATGTACTGTGAAATGTGACATTACGATTTATTAGCTTTCCTATTAATTGATAAAGAAATGCAAGATGAATAATGACATGATTCTCGTCAATCAGAATGAACGTGCAATTGTTAAGATCAAAACTCGCTAAGATTGAAATTAATTAGTTAGGTGAAAAATCTACTGATATTGAAGCTATTTATTCCAAAATATTTCTTACAATTTCAGATTAATTTTTATTGACAAAAAAAATATCAACATTCCAACTGCATACTAACATGTTGACATTTATTCTCTTCAATTAGAATTGCTGTTTTTCTATCGTTCTACGGTTCTTTTTTGCATGTAAAAAGTGTGCAGCAGTGAGTACAGTGACAAGAGCATACAAAAATTACAACATTCAACGAAAATCTATAATAGTAGCAAAATCATACAGAATGTGTAAATAGCATGTGAATGCATAATTCATTAATACATATTAGTAGAATGTTAGTAGAATGTTTTTATTATTTTTTTTTATAGTATGTTAGTAGAATATCAAAAAGTAAGAAGCAAATAGTCAAAGTATTTCATCGTTTCAATATAAATTGGACGAGTGTTATTCGAACAAGATCATAATAAGAGAAGACTGAAGCAGATGATATTCTATGATTGCAAAAATTACCTTATATAAGGACGTAAAGTATCACCTAAAAGTAAAACCAAAAACTGAATATCACAAAGCCATATATACATTATGAATGCCTCAACTATATATACAGAGGTCTATATAAAAACTTCAAATATAAAGATATAAAGGCCTCAAATAATAATATAACAATTTAGCTCTCATTTAATCTACTTGGCTAAATTGTTAGTTGTTAGGAATATCTGCTCTTCATCGGTATAGGACCAGTGTAATTCAATTTGATTGTAAGTTTTGTGAAGTGTGATTCTCTCATTTCATCACCATTGCTGTTATGATCCACAAAAATATATCAAATTAATCTGTGCTGTGTTTTTCAAATTCATCTTATTAACTCTTTAAATCATCCAATTATTTATATGCCTAAGTTTACTGAGACTTTTATATTTCTAACAGTCTCGCAACCATCATCATCCTAAGTTAATATCATTAAATGAAAAGAATATGATGTGATTGATTATAATGTAGCTGTAGAAAAAACAATTTAACATGTAAAGTTAATAGTCGAAGAAGAACGTCTGCAACTTTTTTTGGGATAGACATAAATCGAAAAATTTAAATCGTTACTCCAACTTCTCTGAATAAGCTATAATTTTCGCATCTAATTCGGTGATTTCAACTGAAGATATTACATGTTACCCGATATTATATACAGATAATACAATCCCAATCTCTAATAATAACATTAAAATAATTCAAATTATTGCGGGTGATTGATTTTGAAACGCTTTTAAGAGCAAGAAAAAATTTTAAAGAAACAAAAAATACGATAACAAATATCAGATCTTCAATAAATCTTAACTGTCATTTTACGTTTTAACATTTAATTTCAAAACTTTTTTTACGCCTGCAAGAAGGAAGGACTCTCGATAGTAAAAGTATCACCACAAATAGTGAAAATGGTAAAAATATAGCATTAGAAAAAGAGGTTATGAAATTATAGTTGAAAAATTTTGAGAACTAATGATTAAATCCAGAGAAAAGACAACCGCTTTGAATTTAGTATTCTTTGTAAAATGAAAAATGTCATAAATAGTGAAATACCGAAATTGTATTTCTCATTTTTTACTGCCACAAATACAGTTAACAGAGAAAAGGTGAGAAATAGAGCTCATGAAAAAAGCATATATTGTGTTCCTTTTAAGGAGAGAAAAGAAGAAAGTTGAATAAATTAAATATACAATTAAATTGTAAAAAATTGTAAAAAAATTGTAAAAATTGTAAAAATTGTAAAAAATTTTATGTTAAATATCCAATCATTGTGTAATACTTCATAGCAGGGAAAAAGCAATTTTACTTTTTAGATATCAATTGTATTTTTTTAGAATTTTAAAATTTAAGAAGTTATTAGCTAAATTATTAAATGAAACGTATACTTCTTCACTGCTTGCAACAAATAAAAAACTTCCGTTCCCTGATATCTATACTCCAATTATACCATTCATTATATTTATTACTAAATAATAATTAGTGCTCTTAATGAAAATTAACAGAATTCCTATCGTTTATCGGTTTCAAACTAAGAAGTCAAATTTCATAGCGTAGAGAGAATGGAATGGTTCTAAAGCTTGGAAAAAAAAGAATTTAATAAAGTTTTTTTTTTTGTAATATTTGAATTAGGACTTTCAAGTTTTTCCAAAGTTGATAAGAACAAAGCCATTCATCCATTTACTTCGATCAATCTCTTCGTAGATTGGCATTGCCGATCACTAACTCCCATCGATAGCATTGCATTGTATCAATCAATCGATAACCAAATACTCGGGACTTTTCAGAATATTCAAAATACCGCCGATTAGTTGTACCAACACGAAATCAGTTGGTATATGTGATTGAACAGCAATTACGACGTTTTTTTTTTTTTTTTATCCATTTAACCCAAATCTAATGCTGTAAAAAAAGAGAATAAAAAAAGAAAATTTTGTTTCAAAATAAGGAATTTTCAATAACAATTTTCAATCATTTCTTTATTTGTGATGTGTTTTTGTATTGAAAGTTTTTAACTTTAATATCAGATTTTGCTGTCATTTCATTCATTTTTTGTTTTATTTTCAAACGAAGAAAGATTGAGTAGAATAAATTAAGATGGAAATAGGCATAGGAGGAGAATAATTGCAAGTCTTGAACAATTAGCCCAGTATATGTAATACCATTTGAACTTTATCGAATTACAATAGGATATGACCAACCGATTTCGGAACAATTAGCAAATTTTTCAAATATGTTTCGTTACTGGTTGGTTCGAAGTAGACAGCGACTACTTACGGTACGGTATTATTACTGTCACCTACAGTATTATTTATCCTATAAAGGGTAACAGTATACTGTATGTGAAAGCATTTATTTTTTCCTTATAGCTTCCGGTTTGATGGTTTAATGGGCAATGAATGTTGAGTCTATATAGAGGATATGCTGGTGCATATTTGGCCAAAAGCTTCTGCGTTAATTTTGAAGATATGCCTGGATCCATATAAAGGCTTTAAATGTATTGTACTCCATGGATTTTGTAAATGTATTGTATTCCATGAACTTAATATCTAATTTTTTTTTTTTTTGAGAAAACTTTGTTTAGATGTCAAGTAGTGTTCGACGACGCAGTCATAGACTTGAGGAGAAAAACAAGGAATTGAGTAAGTCATGGACTACAACGGATTTTTCTTGCAGCTCCATTGCAAATTACAGTGAGTTGTCCAATTTGCTCACTGATGTATATCGCAAATAGCAACATTTAAGTACAAAGATTGAAGAATTGATTTATTAGAAGTTAAAAATTAATGAGTTCGAAGTGAATTTTTAAATAACTTTTAGTAGTTAGATATGATTATTTCTCATTGCTAGAGTGGGAATTAAATTTTGACCTGTTCAATTTATCTCTTATTTAAAATATAGAAAATTATGGAATTGAAATTAAAATTAGTATCATAGAACGGAAGCACATCCAGAAAAAGATAGTGAATACTAGCAAAGTTTGGCAATTGCCATTTAAGCCATCATGAATTGATAAATTCGATTTAACAAAAACATGAAGTGTATTTGTGATCTTATTTGTGTTTTACAAACATCTAATCACAATTTTCCAGATGTTGGAGAAAAGAATATTGCTACTTCTTCGAGAAAGAACACGAGAAAACGAAAGGGAAATATTTCCACTTCTGAAGATCAGTTACAGGATGTTACGATAAAGAAAATAATGAAAGTTAAGAGCAATAAAGAGAATGAAAAATTGAAAAATAGAATTAATACCAGAAAAACAAAACGAAAACGATCTGCGGAAAAGTTGGCAAATAAAACTAAAGGGATGGAAGGTGAGTTTTTACAATTTTGAAGATAAGTTTATATTTTGAGGTGAGGCTAGTCACTTGTTATCACTCATTCTGTGCTTATTCAGTATAGATTATGAATATAAGTATTTGCTGCATAATAATTTTTGCTATATCTGTTTTCAAAATTTCAGATTCTGCACCGAAAAAGAAGCTAAATAAAAGGAATAAAAAATGTGAAGAACCGAAAGCTACGCCCAGCTTATCGTATGATGGTAACAGTTCTAATTGTTCAGATGATGAATGGGAAAATGTTGATGAGTTCGATTTTTGTAAAAGTGCTTTATCACCAACTGCTTCTATCGAAATAACAATCACGAAACCAAAAATGAAAGTAAAACCGACGGAAACAGTGGAAACCCGAAGAGCACGTTATATTAAGCGACATGTCAATCAAAAACTTCGTGAACGACAAATTAACTGTCACAAGGTTTTTCCCGATATTTTGGATGAAAAGAATTGACGAAATTTTCAATTATGCTTTTTCTAGTAGCAAATTCTTTTAGATGCATTTGCTTTGTTACATTGCACATTTGCGTATGTGGATGCGCATACTGCTGCGTGAACAGGATTTGATATCATTATGCTTATCAGTAATACCCGAACCACTTCTCACAGCATGTTCTGATTTTAACACTGCAGTAGCAGAAAAATTTCTTCAATGGTTCAAGGCAACATATCAACCAGCCAAAAAAATTTATGTGGCAAAGGATAACTTCAGCGATGCTCAGGTTTTATGTTCATCGATTCAAAAATCATCTCCTAACCAATCATTTCCAAAAAGTGCGGATTGTTAGAGAGTTCTTTTTTATGATATAAAAAGCAATTCATAATTGCTATGTGCACTCAGTATTTGGTGCGAATTAGTTTGCAAGAGCTTAACTCAAATTTTTTTAGTTCTTATTCATAAGTTGACAAGCTCTTATTAGATAGGTTTCATTTTCAGTTGCATCGTCTTAAAGAATTGATTGCTGGAAAGTTCTACGAAACCGATAAGGATTTGGCATCTGTAAGATTTATTTGGAAATGATTCAACAATCTTTATAATTTTATATTTCTTCCGGAAATTTCTTGGAGATCAAAACTTAGGAAATAAAAGTACAAAAGTGATTTTTGATTTTATTTTTTGTTATATTCATATTCAGCTTTCATGTTTGATATAGGTTGCGACGAATAATATACTATAAGTTGCTGAGCATTATTTCACATTTGATCCACTATATATATATTTCCTTTAATATTTAAAAAACCAAAAAAACATTTTATCCTTATTTAGGACGACAAGAACAGCAGCAATTCATAATAATTAACTTACTTGATCATACAGTGCATTTCATTATGCATTCCATAACTTATTTTCAGCTCTTATTTTTGAGTCTTATTGCTCTGAAACAAACAGCTCGCATTTGTTTGTCCTGTCAACCATTACCAATCAAATTGGTACTTTTTTTGTTATTGTAATTATCACGTGAATGTATATGAACACATTATCATTATTTGAACAATTCAGACTGGTATCTAATGTATTTTTTGAAAAGATCGTTTCAGTTATCATTTTTAATAATGCATGCTTGTAATAATGACACTGTTCAAATAAGATGATTTCAGACAGTGCGGAAACAATCTTTGGATGCGATTAAATCTCTTGTCAATTATTATGGATCAAGAAAGCTTACAGCTAATGATTATATGGAGTGGCCGGAAAAACTGGAAAAGACAGTTGAAAAAATTATTCTCTATGACGACGAAAATCAGAATGGAAATGATGGTGCTTCAGCTGGCAAGCTGAGTGTGAAGAGAGATTATTGGGTGGAATTTTGGGATGAGAATTCATGTTACTGGATATGTAATATTTTTTGTTAAGCGTTGATTATATAACACATTTTAACGAAAGTGTATCAACATGTTGTAGACTCATTAATTGAATGGGCTTGGATATCTTTGAATCAGTTATGTTTTCGTATTTCAGGTTTAGATCCATGGAACGGATTGGTTAATAAGCCGGAGATAGTGGAAACTGATGCTACTTCACCTATGCATTACGTCCTTTCTATTGATAATGGTAAATTTCATCGCTTTTTAGCAGTTTGACGATATTTTTTAATAGTTGTTTTATAACGCTTACAAGATTAAAGTTCCCAGCCATTAATGTTACATATTGGATAGCTTTAATTAATTTCTCAACAGTTTCTGCGAATGATAGAATATCGCATCTAAAATTAGAATAAATTCAGACTTTATTTTGCAGAATATGGAATACGTGATGTAACAGCACGTTATGCTTCCAAATACCTGACACCTGCAGTTCGACGATTGTGGGTGAATCAGGACTGGTGGAATGATACAATAGCGGTTATTTTTGATTTAAATTATTCATTATATAACATATAACTCTTGTAATTTTAGTTTTTGCAATCTGCACTATTTTTAGCTTTATCAAAGTGAAAATTTAATGCGTGGACAACTTGAAGATGTTGCAATCCAGCAATATCTCTTCTCCAAACCAAAACCTGCAACAATATCAGAGTACAGAAATCATCCATTGTGAGTGCACAGCTTCTACAGTTAGAATACAAGCAAAAGTTTCTTTAAATTAATTAGATTCTTAAATTACTCAGTAGTTGGATAGTTGCAGCGCTTATTACCAGTACACTGATTTTTATTTTAAATACTCCAGTTCTAAATGCAGGCGTAAATTACAAATTGATGAATTGTAACTGTAAAAGAATATAATTAGGAAAAATTACGAGGAGTATAAACTATTATGAAGTGATCTCATACAATATTTTCTTTGGGTGAATATATGATATATTATTCTCCATAGATATGTAAACATTTAATTATGTAATTTCTTGTAAAACTTAACAAGATTAGTGATATCTTTTTTCTAAAAGTGGAAGATATCACTAATGTTTTGTATTTTCATCTATTATTAGTTGGAACATTGCATAAAAAATCACTGATTCACCTTTCAAGTTTTCTTCTTCAGGTATGTGTTGGAGAAGGATTTATCCAAATATGAAACAATATATCCAGAAAATCAACAATCCATAGGGAAAATCAAAGATTTCAATATCTACCTACGAAGTTCAGTTCATAGACTAGATGGTGCAATAAACTGGATGAAACAACTTCGATCGATTAAAGTAATTAATTGCGCAAAATTTCCTGTGAAACTTTTTTTTTAAATTATATTTTAACTTTTCTTTGTTGCAGCCTAATGAAAAGCCATATAGAGTTGTACAAAAAAGATCCTGTAATCATGCCTCATCAAAATACAGTGGATCGAGAACTGTTGATTTGTATGGCCGATGGCAAACGATACCATATGTCACACCAAAAGTCGTTGATGTAAAAATTTTAATTATTCATTGCTTTTTAATAGAAACTAGTGAATATGGGTGAAAGAAAGGATGATGCTTGATGATTCATTAGGCTTTTATTTGTAATATGAGCTTTGAGCCTTATATCTTACCTTACTAATCTCTTACAATATACAACATTTAGCATTTTTTATACACGTTAAATTATCAAAGTCAAAGTTGAAAATTTAAATTGTGTAGGTGAACTAGTTAGCTCTCAGCTTATCTTCTTTTCTGTTCTGATGCTTGTAGGGTCGTGTGCCTCGCAATGAATTTGGCAATTTATATGTTTACAAGAGCAGTATGATACCAGACGGTTGTGTGCATCTGCAGCTCAATGGATTACAAGCTGTTGCTCGTCAGCTTAACATTGACTGCGTTCCGGCTGTTGTTGGATGGAATCATTGTAGAGGAGGCACTCATCCTATGTTAGTTGTTTTCACGGGACTTTTTTTAAGTTCAATCATCTATATTAAATGATTGAGCGTAAAGAAGTACGATTTATCTAAAACATAGAATATAATTTGCTGCCAATAGTTATGCTTTTTTTCGGTTTTTTATTTACTCCTCATCTGAGTGTGAAGAACTATGTCATTGTGCATGTGAGAGATCTTTTCCAGTAGTTGACTAAATCATATGAGTGATTCCTATTTTGTTAAACGAAATCGGTGAAGCTGGTTTCAATTCCTAGTTCTTTAACTCTTAGTTTCAGTCTCGACGGATGCGTAGTTTTAAAAGAGCATGAAGATGAGCTTCGAAAAGCCTGGTCGAAGCAGTATGAAAAAAAGAAAATGGCCATGAAATTGGTTAGTTAAAAAGCCATCTTTAGGCTTTTTTATCACTAATATATTATCTTTAGTTCCAAAAAAGGAAGAAAAAGGCCAAAATTTTTGTGGATATGAGATTTTCAGAGACAAACACAACGAGCTATAAAAAACTGGCGGAGTTTAGTGAAGGGATTGCTAATACTGAAGAAAGTTCGTGCTAAATTCGCTTCCAAAGACCACTGTTTGTTGGTAAGGTTTATTGTTTCTATAATATCCACTTTCATTATACTGTATCGTATTAACAATATATTCCTCTTATTTGTTATTGATGCATGGATATCTTTACTGTTTCTATATTCACTTTTCTACTTGATGTTTGTAATGTAATGAAAATATATATAAGCATATTTATTAACAGCTTTGAGACTTTTTTTAAACATTTGTTCTTGGGAGACTTTTGTTCTTGTATTTTATACCATCTTCAAATTCAAAACCTAATAACGTAACTGGATCTTATATGCTATATCACTGCTTTTAAAAAGAGTCTTATAATTTCAGTCACCACATTCTTTTAATCCTTTATCAGACATTTTATCAAATATTCCACTTTTATTATAATTTTTGACTTTTTCAGCATATATTTAATTATTCGGTATTTCATGTTTTGCAGCATGTTGACGAAAAGCTAGAAAATAATGAAAAAATTAACAAGAACGGAACAGTGACAACTGATGATACTGGGGCGCTTGCTTGGCCGTCAATTGAATACATTTTGCCTTCTGTTAATTCAAAATCATAATTGCCTTCCCGGATATGTTAAATATCAATAAAGTATTGTTCCAAGGAAAGAATTGGTTATTTTCTGAGAAAGAAATTCTAACTTACAACTTTTGAAGCTCAAACAAATTCCATTTTTGAAATTTCTCTTGTTTTTTGTTTGGATTTTAGATTTCTGCTATATGATTTGTTTCCTGACATTTTCCATACTCTTATTTTTCTAAAAAGTATATACTTTCCTCAGCTTAGTGTAAACCTCTCTTCTCCCTCATTCACATTGTTATCTCTTTGCATTTCTTGTAGGAGATAAAAAACTTCTTGTAACATGGATAGTTTTATCCTTAATCAATTTCAAAGCTGCTGGAATGTAAATAATGCATTACTTTAATGCATTTGTAAATAATGCAGTACTTTTTTCATTCTCGTTAATTTTGCTTTTCTTATGGAAATGTTCAAGAATTCACCGATGATCTTAGTGACCATTTACTTATCCCTTATCATGGTATTCTTTGCTTTCATGTGAAATATTTTTGCTCCTTCGCTTCATTTTACGAGCATACAGGTATTTTTCTTCATCATTATCGATGCATTTTCATACTTTATACATTTTATATTTCTTATAAAAAAGTAAAGAAAAGCTGTTGTACAAATGATGAGCATCCATGAAATCAATTTAATTCGAAAGTTGTCAATCAGAAAACAAAATGATATGCGAGAATTTGATAAAGCTTAGAATTATTATAAAACACAAAAAAACAAGTGGCGACAAGTATCCCGAGAGGCAGCAGCGAACATTATTAAGAGAGGTCGGTTGACCTTTCTTTTCAACAGTTCATTGGTCAGAAAGATTTGTTAAATTACAAGATTCTTGCTTTGCTAGTCAACTCGATCTCAATCCTGAACCTGACAATTGTGCGGGATATTGAATTGCATGGTGCATGGCGGGATTAAATTTTGAATAAATTTACTGGCACGGAGATGGGATTGGTTAACTTTTATTGCCTAATCTTTGACATTGGTATTTTTGAAATATGACCTTTTCCTTTAATACTTCCCATTTGCATAGCTGTAGGCATGCAATCATTATATTAAATCATTTGAATACATGGAATAGCGGTTCATTTGTCGTTTAATTACTATTATTTATCGTATTATTCGTCTTATTCGCTTTTTCCTTATGTGATTCTCTACATTTGCTTTCCTGCATTATGTGATTTTTGCTTATTGCCCACTGCGTTTATTTCCTTTCCAAAAAAATGAAAGTGAACTTCTATGACGTGAAAGTGAACTTCTAACGTTATATGCGGCTTCGTATGACATTTCTGACGTTTCACTTGTTTCATATCATTTCAGTACATGCAGAATGGCAAGTTCTTCTATGCAAAATGTTTTGAATAAGGGAGACAGTTTTCGACGAGTTACGAAAAAGGAATCTGAATTTTTGGCACCTAAAAGCCCATTTCATGCGTAAGTTTCTGAGGTTATTTCATGCGTAACTTTTTGAAGTTTCTGAAGTTTTCTGAGGTTAAGTAAGTTTCGAAAAAGGATTCTGAATTTTTGGCACCTAAAAGCTTATTCATGCGTAAGTTTCTGAGTTTCTGAAGTTTCGAATTTTCAAATATTCCTTATTAATGAAACCATATTTTGCATCGTTAATCAATGTTAATTTTATCTCTTCTACTTACGCAATCCTTCGCAACATCTCTCGGGAGTTGTCAGATTTATGTGGAATTATTACAGCCGAGAATTTCAATTAAGTGACTTCGAAATTGGTCGACCATTAGGGAAAGGCAAATTTGGCAATGTTTATCTGGCTCGCGTCAAAGGCATTAATTTTATCGTTGCTTTGAAAGTACAATTTTTACTTTAAGAAGTATTTAAGAACAATCAAAAAAAAATTATGGAATAAAAACTTTTAAATTCACTTAACATGTTTTTTTTACTATATCAAGATGTATGTAATGATGAAATCTTAGTTCCTTCTCTAGACTTTTATATATTTGCTCCTAAATAAATTTTTTAAAAGATTCTGTTCAAATCGCAACTTATCAAAAACAATGTGGAACATCAATTACGTCGCGAAATTGAAATTCAAGCTCATTTGCGACACCCTCATATCCTTCGTATGTACAATTATTTCTATGATGAAAAACGTATTTACTTAATATTGGAATATGCAGCTGGAGGTGAACTTTATAAAGAACTGCAGAAATGCGGTCATTTCGAGGAAGAACGTACAGCTAAGGTTTTTTTTGTGATGCTTAAATATGAGTTAATTAAGGTTCAATTTCTATCAAAAGTATCATTTTAGGCACCATAAGGAAGATTTATTCAATAATGAATATAGATTGATTTTTGGGACTGCATTTTACTGCTTTTTATTCCATATTATTAATGAGCGATGAAATAGTGAGTCTGTTTGAAATTGTTAAAGTTATCCTCACTTCTATAATGGCATACTGCATATCAAATTTAACTCAAATTTAACATATGTGAGGATTTAAAAAAAAATAAACTCGTTGTATTATTTGTGTGAATCAGCTAAATTCAATGATTGAAATTTTATTTTTTGAAACGTTCTTTCGGAACTATTGTATGCTTTTCCGCCGCCATTCTTGGACCTGAAAGATCCATTTTTTCAGCTTATGTTTCAAATGGCGGACGCGCTTTCCTATTGTCATGATAAAAAAGTTATACATCGTGATATCAAGCCAGAGAACTTGCTTTTGGGCATGTTTGGTGAATTGAAGATTGCAGACTTCGGATGGAGTGTTCATGCTCCATCTTCCAGGTTTGCCCAGAAAAGCCCATTTATTCTAAAGCTTATTAAGTTTTAGTTTGAATTTTCCAAGTTTTTTGACGCTTCATCTTTGTTTAAGGCGAGAAACAATGTGTGGTACTTTGGATTATTTACCGCCCGAAATGGTACAAGGCGAGAAACACGATGATAAGGTGAACCAAATTAAGTTAAAGTCAGCAGAGTGTCAATTTTTTTGCAATATGAATTGATAAAAATTTTCATTTATGTTTGAATTGAAAATCTTTCGTAATTAGATCTATTCATTCTTTTGCCTTTTTCCCAAATTCTTCCATATCCATATATTCTCGTTATCTATGTTCCACTTTTAATCATTTCCATCTCTATTGTTCCCATTATCATTTCGAAATTTCAGGTTGATCTGTGGTCACTTGGTGTTCTGTGTTATGAACTACTAGTTGGTAGACCGCCGTTTGAAAGCAAAACTCACAATGAAACTTATAAACTTATTGCAAGCGTGAAATACAAATTCCCGAGTTATATTTCTGAAGGAGCTAAGGATTTGATTACCAAAGTTTGACTTTAAATATATAGATTAGTTAAGTAAGTAAAGAAAGTAAACAGATAAACAATAATAAATTATTTGTAAAAATCATGAATTAATATATAATAGAATTAATTAACCAATATACAACTTTTTTAGATTTATTTGTAATCATTAACTATTTTCAGTTATTGGTGAAAGATCCTGTTGCACGTCTTCCTTTGAGGGACGTTATGGATCATCCATGGATTCGTCAATACATTTGTAAAGAATAAAGTGTATGATTTACTTGGAATATCGTCTTGTATCTTCTAACTATAATTCCATCTATGCTATCAAATGTGACATCTCAAAATACTTCTCACCTTTTACCTGATCGTTTGATATTTTCAGTGTGCTGTTGTTCACTTGAGCGCAGGTATTTTCATGGTTAAAATGAATCAAAATTGATCATATCAAATCACCTGATTGATGTAATTCGAAACCTTTGTGATTAATCTAGTATTATTTACAACAAGCAAATTTACTGTCAATAAAATCTTTCATGAATTTATTTTGAATTTGTCATTTTATCACTTTGATTCAGTCACGAAAACTCAATGTACTTCTTTAAATTAAATAATGCGCTAATAGGATCGCTTAAGAATACCTTTAATGTGATTATAAATATACATGATCAGTATACCACAGCAAATTCCTCCATTTCGGGAAGGTTAAGTTGTATGTAATTGTTAAAGTTGCGGAAGATTGTCAAATGGAATTTTACACTTGTATATACGCACACACACACAC